CCTCTGCACTCTCTGCCCTCCTCCGGAGGAGCGAGGTCCAGGGATCCACGGGGCTACCGGTGTCACACAGATGCATCACTGCTGCGGCCGTTGCCACACAACCAGACAGCTTTACTGCTGAACCCGAACCTCCGCTTGGGCTGGAAGGTCAGACGTAACGGCGACAACAACAACGACAATGACGATGATGATGATGGTTATGATGATATGATGTAACGCGAACGGAACGTTCTTCATCGTCCATCAAACAACAATTTATGCTGTGCAAACATTTATCGATATTGTCATCATTTGGCACTGTGATTATCATTATTGACAAATCATCGTCGTCATCATCATCGGTGACAACAACATCCCGACGCTGCCTACATAAGTAGCATTTTCTGACGTGTTCGTCGAAGTATCATCAAAATAACCTTTCCTCGTTTTTATCGTCAACACTGCTGACATCATCACCATCACCATCGCCTTTATTTGTTATTGCTATTGTTCGCGAAATCCTTATCAGTTTTTATTGACTTCGCTGTTATCATTGTGGTCGTCGTCACTATTATCTCATCATCATCACCATCATCGTTAATACAGATATCATTACTTGTTATTGTTATTATTATTCGCGAAATCCTTACCAGTTCTTATCGACCTCGCTGTTGTTGTCATCGTCGTCATCATTATTCTCATCATTATCATTATTAACTTGTAAACACCGTTCACGACAGTGATGTGAGATGAGGCATAAACAAAAGAAGCCGGCGAAACGATTACCTGATGATAACAGTGGTGCTGCTGATAAGGCAGAAGATGAGGAAGAAGTGGATTTTTTGACACCGACCGCTGCTGCTTTTGATTCATCCTCGGAGATGGTGCTGCTGGGCGATGGTACTACCACACGTGGCGGCGCACCATCGAGCAGTAACAATCATAGTGTTGCGGATGGCTTCTTTCGAGCGATAGAACACGAAAAATCTGAAACAACGCAATGTACCTCCTTCTCAACATCACCTGGAACACCGGAAGCGCAAGTATCAGCATCGGCTGAGTTATTAAAAAAGTCCAAAAAGGAAGTACTAACGGCAGACGACAGCGGTCGTTTGCAACGCAGTTTTACCGTATCACTGGTTTCCGGCTCCGATTCCATTGCTCTACAGAATCCCAGTTTTCCGGAGAGTTATTTACGCTGTATTCCACTTCCTACAGTTGCAACCGATCTTCCACTGAATTCCCGAAATTCCGATTTTCCGGTGAACTATTGCAATTCAACTATTACAGCAATATCTACCAAAAGTGGTACTAGCAACGAAGACCGACAACCACCCGCAACTCCGTCCTGTCCCGGGAAAGATCCCGGAAGAGCGAGCAGCCGTAACAGTTTACCGGAATTTTCCTGCAGCAACAACAGTCGTCCATTTGGGCCACCACCATCATCATCATCATCCCCGTCACCATCATCGTCATCAGCATTGTCGGATGAAGCGGTAGCTTCGGCCACGGATTTTTTGGATTCACCGTTGAAGCGTCTGGAACGTTGTGTTCGCGCAAAAAACGGCGTGATGGGATCGTTTCTTGGACGTTATGCAAGCGCCAGTAGCAGCAGCAGCAGTAGGACGAGGGGCATCCAGAACAGTGGGGCAAGCATCCCCGGACTCAACTTACAGAGGCCTGGCACGAGCAGCAACAACAACAACAACAATCATTCGATGAAACTACGCTTCGGCAGCGGTATGCTCGTTTGAGAAAA